TCTTTCACAATCCCTGGTCACAGCTTCACCCTTCTACAAGTTCCTCTCAGATCTCAGTTTGAAGCAAACTCTTCTGTTCTCTAAATCTTATTTCTCAGTTTTCATTTGCCCATTCTTGAGTATTTGGGTATGTTGATCAACCCCACTTCTCTTTGCCACTTTTTTGTGTGCATATTGAGTTGATTTAAAGAGTGATATGATGAGTATCTCATTGGAAACCCAAAGAAATTTCATAGTGTCTGCTTTAGCTGGCCCCAAAAAGCTAATTTAAGGGGACTTCAGCCTAGTGAATTCTGGCATGAAAATATTCACATCAGCCTGGGAGGAACTTGTCACTTCCTCATCTTTGCTCTTAGCACCTTCATAAGGTCCTGTGGGTGACATGCCTTCAGAAAACAGAGGTGGATGGAGCTCTCTGAGGGCCCTGAAATGTGCTATGTGACTTGACATAACACTTGCTCTAGGAAATATGCCCAAATGAAGCAGAGTAGGATAGGACTCTTCTTCCCCCACTGCGGTGGCCTGAGCACCCTGGTCTTCACCTTGGGCTTGGTGGCATTTTTCACGGGTGTGGAGCTTACTCTTCTGACATCAAGACATGATGACCGTGGTTAGGGACATCAGGCAGGAGTGTGGCGGGAGAGGACATGATGTGGCACCTTGAGGAGAAGGATGAGAGGGTGTGAGCCCCTTCACAATGCAGTTCTCTAGGACCCCAGAGGGTCAGCCCGTTCCCTGAGGACCTTGTGGAGGAAGTTACAGTACACCTTAGGCTGCAGCCTGTCAGCCCTACCTGGGGCTGCCTGGAGTAATGGCAGGGGCAGGTGATGGGGATCCTCTCTTATGGGGTGGGGGTCTCTCAGTTTACATTCAGCACCACCATAACAACTGTTGGCAGAGCCTGGGCCCCTCTCCTCTGCTGTGCTGAAGTTGATTCCCAAAATCTGGCCCTCATCTCCCTGGGATCCCCTAAGAGAACGAGAAGGGACACCTCATCCCATAACCTCTGCTGCAGGCCATCCAGAGCTGACAGCTCAGAGGGGGCCTTCTCTGTCCTAGGCTTGTTGGCACTCCCCTACTAACCCGAGTACACTGGCCTCTGATTAAAGCTCTCACCTTTCTGCCTTCCTAGAAGGGGAAATTTGGGGTACACCCCATCTCGCTACCCCTACCTAGGGGTCCCAGTGCTGACAAAGAAGTGGGGCTTTGGATGGTCCCCCTTTTGTGGAGTGGTCCACTGGTTAGCACTTGGGTTCCTTACCTGGACTCCAGTCAGGACCCAGGTTTCCTCTTTCGGCAGAATTGGGACCATCCCCTTAGACCAAGGCCCTCCCCTCCCTGAGACTTTCTGGGCAAAAGTCATGTCACAGCTCTGTCCACCATTCCAGGGTTGAGAGAGGGTGTGGGACTGGGTGGCCCCCTTGGTGATGGGCAGAGTGATCTCTTCAGTCCACATTCAGGGTCCCCACCTAGAAACTTAACCAGTCCTGGGACTCCACCCTCCACTTTTTGAGTCCGTGCCCCTCAGACCAAGTTCCCACCTTCTGGATTCCCGTAGGACAAAGTCGAGGTGAGCCACGTGCATCTAAGGCTGTAGGGGCCTCTGAACTCTCATAGCAGGGGGCAAGACTGTTTGGGACCCCACTGACATGGATCAAAACCTGGGACTCCCCTCTACTGATATGTGTCCATCAGCCTCGCACCGGGTTCCTCATTTCCCTGAGTCCCTAAGGATGGTGAGTCACATCTGGCTGCCCCTCTCATTAGTACTCAGGGCCCTCACCTGGACACTAATTAGAGCCAAAACTCCTGTCTCTGAAAAACTGAGGCAGCCCTTACAGCAAGGCCTGCGTGTCCCCGTACCTCTCCAGGCCAAAAAGAAGGGCGCTTGAGCTGAGGGCTCTGCCCTAGGCATCCCAGGGGTAAGAACACGTGGGGCCTGTGAGGACCTCTCTGCTGATGGAGAGCCTCTTATGTCACTCAGTCTTAACTGTGAGTCCTGTTAGTTCCTGGGCCTCCACCTCTGCAGGACTGGAGCTGCCCCAGCCAGACCAAAGCCCTTCTCTTTCTGTGACTCTCCAGGCAGAAATAAGGGGCTCCTCAACCTGACAACTCTTCCCTGGGCCTCCCAGGATCCTCAACGAGGGTTAGGGTGTTTGTGACTTGTGGGTCCTGCTATGTTCTTGCGTGGGTTGTTCTCTCACTCATTCACTGTCCTCACGTTGACATCTGAGCGCTGTGGTGTCTAGCCCGTTCTTGGTACACCACCTTCAACTGACCTGAGGCTTCTCCCCTCAGATCAAGATCCTCACTTTTGGGAACCACCGAGTTGGAAGTCAGTGTGAGCCAGATCCAGCCATAGCTGTTCAAATCTGCAAGGGCAGACAGCCAGGGCAGGACTCCACAGAACCACACTGCTCTGGCCCGGTCCTTCTCTCACCCCTCATTCAGGATCTTCACCTTGAAGTCTGTCAGAGGCTCACACTCTTCCCTCTATCCACCTGAGGTCCTTGGACCAAGGCTCTCTGTTCCTGAGGACCTCGCAGGACAAGTGGACGATCAGCCCTGCCTGGGGCCCTGTATGTCTGAGGGCAGCTGCGGATAAGTCTCTGTGAGACCATCTGTGTTCTAGCGCATTGATCTCCCTAGTCCTCATTCACAGGGATCCACATCTTGGCTTCTGCTCCCTAGATTCAAGGCTTCCTGGGAAATGCTACATCTGTGCAAAGTTGAGCACTTTTCCTACTGCAAACCTTGCACATAGGATCAGTGTCACAGGGGTGATGCCAGATGGGGAAGCTGTAGCTCAAGGCAGGGTACCCAGGACAGGTTGTGAACTGTCAGAAAAAAACCCAGCTGATCTCTTCCTCCTCTTCATCATCCAGATTTTTTAGCCTTTCATGTAACTTTGGTTTTAATAGAATGACTTTCTACAAGGCAGGGATGAAGACGCATGATTTTGTGAGCCCCTCTCTCTCGAGGTGATCTGACATTGTATATACAGGTGATTGTATTGTCACTGAGTATTTTCCTCTTTATTTATACCACCCATTTAATATTTTTATTGCTCTGGATATGTATTCTAAACACTAGTTGGCACACAGAGCCCTCTTTTTATTGCCTGAGAAACTTCCTAGAGTAGTGAAAGTGAATGTGAATTATGACACACCGTATCTGTGTCAGGCTGGGAGGGGTGGGGTGATAGGGGCTCTGATATGAATTCAGACCATAAGTTTGGCACTGTCTCTGCTGCTTACTAGCCATGTGAACTCCGGCACATTAACAGAGTCTGTGGGCCTCAGGCTCTTCATCTGCGAAGCACAATTGCTAAGCCCTGTCTTCTAGGCCTGTTGGATACATGGAATGTGTGTCACGAACCCAACACAGTACCTGGCAGGCATTGAGATTTTTTTAAATGGTAGTTATTACCATGATTATTTTGACCTCAGTCAATACCACGTACCAAACTGCGATTTATTTATTTTTTCCTAATCAAGGAGGGGTCAGAGACTCTGCAATGTTCTAGGACAAAAAAACCTGAGTCAGCCAAAACGCTGCTTAGTAAATAAAACTAAGTAATATTTCTCCATTAGATGATCAGTCACTTGATGCGTGCATGAGGCAGACTTCTCCATTTAGATGTACCATGGAACTACTAAAGGCATGCCAAAGCCCAGCAAGCTTCCTCCCTACAGCGGCCCTTGTGTTTACCCGTCCCCATTTTCATTCATTCCACCGCCGCCACAGACCTAGACCTAGATTAGAATTTGCCATATCACACAGAAGAATGCCATATTTGGGTTCCCTTTTAATAGAGAGGTCTAGGCCCTCTCAACCTCCAGGCCCAGACAAAGCAGGCCTTCCCAGTGGCTGCTGAATATCATCCTTATTCTTAGAAACTCTGGACACATAATGCACAAAACACCTAGTTAGTGCACTGTGTTTACCTCCACGGAGACAGAGCACAGAATCCTCATTCTGCCCTGGGTGGGCGGACTTCGCTCGGGTTCACGACATCCCCTAAGGAACTGTGAAGAGTTTTCCATTGCAGGCATAGTCTCTGCACTCTGAGACCCAGCAGCATCTGAGAGTCAGTCTGGTCCCTGCTCACCACTTGAACAGCCTCATCCAACTCCCCATGCAGCCAAATTTAAAATCCACCCCCGCCCCCCACCGCCGACAGAGGACTAGCAGTTAGTTTCCCACCTTCCCAACTGGCCTTTTATTGGGGGCGTTTCCACTGGTCTGCTCCTGTCTGGACTCCCCTCCCTCCTTACCCTTCTATCGTCTTTCAGGGTTGAGTGTGGATGTCACCATGCTCCTTGTATGAAAACTTCTCCTGGTTCTACGATGTCATTGGTGGGGGCCGGGCCTTCTTTATCTGCGCATCCCAACTAGCATGATGCCTTCAAGACAGCGGGCGCTCAATTCACGTTTGGGGAACAAAAGAGACAGTGACCAAGAGTTCTAATTTTTGATGATTTAATTTCTCTTACATTCTTGAATAAGCTAAGCAAATCCTTGCACATATCTTTTTAATTTTCCTGAAAGAATAAAAAGAATTTAGAAAAACCAAGAATTAACCACCTTTTACTTTTTATTCACTATCTTGTTATCTCAATATTTCACTGTGGGGTTCTTTAACATTTTAAAGAAAATTTCTATCTAATGCTCTGTCTTCTGGTACTGGACCACATTAAAAGATGCAAGGATTTTCGATTTGCTTTACAAAATACAAAACTATTCATTCTCAAACTTGAAAAACAGCAACAAACGTGTGAGCCAAACTTGGCTTCTGAATTTAAGTAAGCCTTTTTAAAAGGAGCAGATTGGGAAAATTAGGGGGAAAAAAGGGAAATCGGTAGGTTACTTATGAAAACAGGAACACAAAGAAGAGATACACTGTGCTCTCTCCATCTCCACCCTGCCCCCTATTACTTAGAAGGTTGAGAGCCCTTTTTAACTTTAACTTCAAGGTGAAATCTCTGCCTCAGACTTCACTAGCGCTGGGAAGACCTCCTGGACATGGCCCGGGAGAGGGCCCTGGCTGTAGCTCTGGCTAGAGCTCGCTCTTCCTCATCTCGCACGGCTTCCTCATACCGGGCCTGGAAGGCGCTGGGGACCGTATCATTGGCTTTGGCCCAAAACTCCAGGACTTTCATTTTGGTGGTCTCAGCATAGGCTCTCGGGCCCCACAGGAACTCGAAGCGTGGAGGATCGCTGCCGGACACCTGGCGGTACTCCAGGTACTGTTGCTGTACCAAATCTTTGGTGATGAGCTTCCTGGGCTCCCCGAAGATGAAGTGCCTTCTCCCAGCATAGAGCCCCAACACATTCAGGAATTCCCACATCTCTTCTTCAGTGGCGCGGTTGCCATTCAGGAAGATCACGCCCAGGAGAGGCATCAGGAGCCCATTTTTCGGAAAGCTCATGCCTTCGCTCGTATTCTCGTCGTCGGGAAGGTCTAGTTGGCTGAAAAGGACATACAAGTGATTGCTGGGGTCGACTTCCTTCAGGTCAAGGCCAAAGACCAGCTCCATGCGCTCAGTGACTCTCCTGAGGATTTCAGGAAAGTGTTCCTTGTACTTCTTGTTGATAATCTTCAGCATTTCTGCCTTTGTGATGGGCTCTTTCATTTTATATTTGTGCAGCAGAACCTGCACCAACATGCCTACTTTCCTGGTCAGAGGATCTTTGCTGGAGCTCTCTGAGGAGGGCACGGCCCGGGAGGAACTTGGACTTCCCTCCGCTTGGCTCATGGCACTTTCACCAGAACTCGCACAGGAAATTGCTGCAGCAGAACTGGCGGCTGCACCTCTCTCTGACTTCTGGGGAGAGCCTTCAGCAAGGGTGCTGGGGGAAGCGCCTCCAGACCCAGGCGAGGAGGAGGGAGACTCTCCTTCCCCTGCTGAAGCAGCTTGAGCACCGAGAGCCTGGGCCTTACTCTGGGCCTGACGGCGTTTCTCACGGGCACGGAGCTTACTCTTCTGACCACGAGGCATGGTTGTGGTTAGGGACAGCAGAAAGCAGTGTGATAGGAAGGCACGTGATGTAGGCACCTGGAGAAGAAGGACAGGAGGGTATGACACCCTTCCACAGGGAGATGCCATCGTGGCTTTAAGAAAGCCTCCCTGTAGGTGTCCCTTGGGGCTCCTGTTCTCTCGATCATCTGTCCCCTGAGCACCCTGTGGAGGTGTTGGAGTACACCTGAGGCTGCAGCCTGACAGCCCTGCCTGGAACCACTCCCCTCAGATCTAGACCCCCACTTCTCTGTTCCTCTCTGGGACAAGCTGCCCACCCCTCAACCCCCTGCCCACCCCCAGGAAATGAGGAGTCACCTTCCCCTTAAATCTATGCCTTTCGTTTTCCAAGAAACAACAGAGGTGAGACTTTATGTAGCCACCTCTGTTCTGGAGTGGTTGTTCCCCTCACTCCTCCTACAAGATTCTGACCATCACTCCCAAGAGGGGCTCCTCTCTCTGCTGAACTGGGGCAGCCTATCTTTAAATCATCTACTAAAACCCTGCAAGCTGAAGTCAAGGGGCACCTGAATCTGTCAGCCCTGCCCTGAGCTTCCCAGGGGTGGAACTCGATGCAGCCCCCTCCACTGGGAATCAATGGGTCCTAATTTCCTTTCCCAGAGTCTTCACCTTGACACCTGACTAGTCCTGGGACTCCACCTTCAGTGGATCTGAGCCCACGCCCTTCACACCAAAGTCCTTGCTTAAATGGGATCTCAGAGTTGGAAGTTCAGGGTGAACCACATCTTGCTAAGTGCATTTGGGTCCTACAAGGTCTGAGAACAGGAGTGAGACTCTACAGGATCCCACAGTTCCCCATTGGTCATTAGCTCAGTCCTCACCCCGCATTATGACCTTGGCTCCAGATAGGACTTCCAACTCTTCACTATACTGAGCTGGGTCAACCAGGCCTAGAGAGGAAGCTGGAGCATACTACATCTGAATACACCTGCCTAGCACCTCCCAGAGCTGAGTGCAGGGGCAGGGCTCTGGTCAGTGCCGTTTTTTGAGGACGGGGTCCTCACTTTGGACTCCTGTTAGGGCCTAGGTCTCTTCCCTTAGCAGAACTGGGCCCACCCCTTTAGACCAAGGCCCTCTTTTCCTTGGAAGTTTTCAAGCAGAAGTCAGCCCCACGGCTCTGCTGGGATCTCCCAGAGTTGGGGAGGGGTGGGCACAGGGAGGTTATGCGTCAGTCCATATTCAGGGTCCTCACCTTCATATCTGACCAATCCCAGAACTCCACCCACCACCGACTGAAGTTTGTGCCTCTCAGACCAACGTCGTCACCTTCTCGATGAGAAATGTGGCCGAGACCGTACAAAGCCTCCAAAGGCTAACTGCCAAGGCTACACTGGGCCCGAAAGGGCAACCAGCAGGGACGGGGCTTTCTGCGATCCCACTGATACCGTAACAAAGCCCAGGACTCCTCCCTGTACTGATCTGGGTCCGTCACCCTCACACCGGACGCCTCACTTCCCATGGTCCCTAGAGGGCAAGTATGCGCAGGCGCACTATCGAGCTATCCATGCATGGCGGTCACAGTCATGGTTGCCGCCCCTCCCCCACAAACCTCCCCGCCTTGCCTTTTGGAGAGCGATCTCCTTCTTAATACTCAGGGTTTCACCAGGACTCCAGTTAGGGCCCAGATTTTCTCCTTCAACAGAACCGTGGCTGCCCCACCGAGACCAAAGCCCTCCTTCCCGCGGTGCCCCCCATAAATAAATCAACCCAATAACTATACTGGGGCTTCCCCGCGCTGCCGCTAGGGCAGGTCTTCGTGAGGTTCCCTTGATGATGGGCAAGACTGGCACTTCAGTCTATATTCAGGGTCCTTACCTTAACACCTGGCCAGTCCTAGAATTTCCTTCTCCACCGACCGAAGGCCTCGTGTCGCAGACAAAGCGGAAGTCGGAGTGAGCCACGTCCGGCCGAGGGGTCTCTGAGATCCATCCGCAGGGGAGGGTCTATGGCTCGCCAATGATAATAATCGGAGCCCAGACTCTTTTCTCACGTGACTTGAGTCCACCAATCCACACCGTCCCCGAGTCCGCGGAAGGAAAAGTCGGGGCGTATCACCTCTAGCATCCTCCGCCTGGGACTCCCAGACCCGGGAGAGGGGCGGGACTCTGAGCGACCTCCTCTTTTGCGGAGACATTTTCTTTTTAGTATTCAGGCATGGTCCTCACTTGCACTCCATTTAGAGCCCAAATTCCTCCCTTTGTATAACTGGGGCTGGTCCCTTTCTACCGAGGCCCTCACCTACTGAGACCCTCCGGTTCGAAACGAGGAGCCTCTTTGTTGAGCACGCCACTCAGCTTAGACAAAGAACCGAGCACGGGAAATGTGTGACCCTCTCCGCTGGCGGGGTTCCCTCATACCACTAGGTTCTCACTTTGACTCCTGTACCTGGTTCTCCTCTCTCTGAAGAATTGGGCCCACTCCAACTAGACCAAGGCTTTTCCCTCTCCCTGAGACCCCGCAGGTGGAAAATGAGGGGGCTCTTCAGCGTGACAACTCTGCCTGCGACTCGTAGGTCGTGGCGGGCGTGGGAGCGCCGCCTCTGTTCGATTGTGGATATTTCCCTTATTCCTCCCTAAAATTCATCACATTGACACCTGACTAGTCCTGGGACTCCACCATCGGAGGACCTAAGCTGCTCCCCTCACATCAAGGCCCTCGCCATCTGAGACTACAGATAATTCGAAGTCCGTGTGAGGCAGATCCAGCCACAACTGTTTCGAACCTGCAAGAGCGGACAGCCAGGGCAGGACTCCACAGGACCACACTGCTCTGGCCGGGTCCTTCCCTCACTCCTCATTCGGGGTCCTCACCTTAAAGCCTATCAGAGGCTCACACTCCTCCCTCTACCCACCTGAGGTTGCCCTCCTTGGACCAAGGCTCTCTGTTCCTGAGAAGCTTGCAGTATAATTGAGGGGATGCTCAGCCTCACAGGGCTGCCTGGGACCATATAGGTCTTGGAGAAGCCATAGGCTGATCTATGAAGGTCGTCCATATTCTGGAGTGTTGATGTCCCCAGTCCTCCTACAAGAGAGTTCTCATTTTGGCTCCTGTCTCCTTGATGAAAAATTTCGTAGGAAATGTCATATCCCTTCAGACTCTTGAACACTTTTGTAAACTTTGCAGAAAATGCTTCCTTGTCCTGGACTTACGAGAGATGAAGAAGCTGTAGCTCAAGATAGGGTTCCCAGGATAGGTGATGGGCTGCCAGAAGAAAAGCCAGCTGATCAATTCCTTCTCTTTACGGACCAGCCAGCCTCTTATGCAACTTTGGTTCTAATATACTAACTTTCTACAGAGAAGGGGCAGAGCCTCAAGATTGTGAGCCTTGTCCTTTGGAGGTGACCTGACATTGCATATGTAGGTGATCATCTTGTCATCAAATATTATCTTTTTAATTTGTATTCATTTATTTTGGTATTCCGTGTATTCCAATCCAGTAGTTAGTACACAGTTTTTTTTTGCTTACTACCTGAGATACATTTTAGAGTAGAGAGAAGCAACGTGAATTAAGAGATACAAAGCTTGGATGGGTGGGATAGTGTGGGAATAGTTCTGTTTTAAATAAGCCATTTTTGGGGTCTGTGCATGAGAAAGTTTACTTTTGTCTCTGTATGTTTTTCACCAGCATATTTCCTAATTAAAACAAACCCTTATGCTGTTGAATGAATGTTCCCTTTCCAAATCCATATGTTGAAGTCCTAGCCCTCAAGGTGTTGATACTAGGAGGTGGGGGCCTTTGGGAGGGGATTAGATCGTGAGAGTGGGGTCCTAATGAATAGGATTAGTGCCGTTATAAAAGCAGCCCAGAAAAGCTCCTTTGCCCTTTCCACTGTGTGAGGGCACAATGAGAAGGTGCCATCTCTGAACCAGAAAGTGGGCTCTCACCAGACACCAAAGCTGCCTGTACCTTGATCTTGGACTTCAAAGGGTCCAGAACTGTGAGAAATACAATTTTGTGGTTTACAAGCTACCCAGTCAATGGTATTTTTATAATAAGTTTGACCATCCACAGTAATGTACATCAAGGAGCTCACTCAGTCTGTGTTTACAGGTCAGGGAGCCCTGTTTATTTCACTCATGTCTGGAGAGGCATAATTTTCTAATAATGGTGAATTGTGTCAACATTAGCTGGTGCTGCTAGTTATGGTACTTTTCTACAGTTTGGATTTGCAAATTGGACAGCTGCCTCTTACAGACACTGACCTCTATTAAGATGCTTGCACCTGATTAACCTTCTTAAGATGCTCACCAGCCCACAGCATGGTAGAAGGGAATCCATGTCCAGCTGGAAAATTAGTCCTGGCATAGCAACGCATTTTCACTGTTGATGAGTGACTCTGTGCACTGCAAATGGAAGCTGTCTGACACTTCTGTTTGGAATTGTAAGTAAGGTAAGTATTAATATATGCCTAATTGGCAGAATTGATAACTTTTCACTGAATAACTTTATATGATTTCAATTTTGAACCATGAGAATGTCTTACTTATTCAAAAGTTAAATACATATCTTAAAAACTCTAGTATTACGAGGAACTACCTGGGGTGCTTGTTTTAAAATGCAGATTTTTAGGCCACCCCCTCAGATGTTCCAAGTCAATGTTGAATTGAGGAATCTGCATTTTGCAACAGGTAGCCTGGGTGATTCTCATGTTGATGGTTCTGGAACCAAAGAATCGTAGTAGGGCATATGGCTACAGACTACATTTATGCCACAGCCATATTTTTATTGAACATTGAATACATGCATCTGTCCATTTCATAAATTATGCTTTATTATATTAAGAAATAAAACACATTTTTATCTTCTATGACTTGAATGGCTTACTACACGGGAAGTGACATAATGTCTTACAAACCATGTACAATATGACAGAAGCACTGGCAACATTTCATGAAAAATAAGAGTACAATCAATGAGCACACTTGATAGATAGAATTTTACACAGTCACACAGTTAAGTT